TGGTTGAGGAACTGCCAGATCACGTCCTCGTGCGACTTGGCTGTCATCGCCGTGGAGCGATTGGTGCTTGTCTTCGCGCGTGAAGATGTGATCTCCTCAAGAGCGGTGCACCGTGGAGAGCGGGATGTCAAAGGACCATTCGAGCGCCAGGAGCCGTGTGGGTGGGTTGAACTTCTGTGCGGCCTCGCGAAACTGGTTGCGGTGTTGGCTCTTGTCGCGCGTGATCTCACCGCACAGCACTCGCCGTACGTCTTCGTATCCTGGCGACAGCTTGCTCTTCGGCACGTTCGCCGCGCCCGGCACCCTGCTCAGCGCCGTCGTTACTTCGTCCAGTCGCGGTACGTCAGATAGGGCTGTTCGAACTTGACTTTGAGGAAAACGACGACCCCAGGAGTTGGGCGAGAGCGCACGGGCTTCCCGCGACTGGTAGGCGGGACGCTGAAATGCGTGCGGCCGACGAAGCCCTCGGATGCCTTTCCGTTCCACTTGCCCAAGCGCGCGATCTCATCGGTGAACCTTCACTTCGAGTATGGTGTCGAGGACGGTGGACGCGGTGGGGATCAGGCCCCATTCGCGTGCAAAGTCGTCGATGAAGGGCTAGGGCCGCGTCTGGAATGCGCGCGTGCACGCGTCGAGGAGGTGCAGGTGCAGACCGTTCTTTTCTGCTGGGACGGCGCCACCTGGCTCGTCGCGCTGGATACGCACGTACACGTACGCAGTACTAGTCAGCACCTCTCTGCTGCGCGTACATGCCCAGGGACGGGAAAGACGATGGACTCACTTTCGAAACCATGCCATTCTCCTGCGCCTCGTCCACAGCCCGCTCCAGCTCTTCCTCTGCATCGCTCGACATGAGCGAGAGGAACCCGATCCGGAGCGTGTATGACAATGAGTTCGTCGAGATTCCTTGGTAGAACGCGACGGGGTGGCTCTTCAGAACGTGCCCACGACGGCGCTCACGACGTGCGCCGTGGCGTCCCCAGGGCTGTTCCGCGAGACGATGCGAGACGAAGACGTGCGGGTCGACGAGAACGCGCTTTCCTTCAATCTGGAAGGTGAGGGTTGTGGTCTAGGGCGCGTGGAGCAGGGGCGTGTCGGACGCGTTGACGAAAGGTACGTTGGCGAGGATAGCGCTGACGACGTCCAAGGGACCACCGATGAGGGAGTTGTCCTGGAATATCCTGGATGCGGGTGAGAGTGCCCGTGTGCGCGGGATAGGATGCCAAGCAAGTGCGGGAGGGTGCGTACGAAGCGTAGGACTCATTGGAGGCGAGCGAGGGCGGAGTCATCCCTCCCTCGGACTCCTGGTTTACGTGGCCCGTCCGGTGCCCGAGATGTTGAGCTCATCGCGCTGGGGCGTGGTCTAAGAGTGTAGTGAGTTGTGGGCGCATATTTGGACGAATATATGGACATACCAGAGGAACGAGAGAAGGCGGAGGTAGCAATCGCGCGGGTAGCGTCAGATTGCTTCGACGATCATAGGGTGTACGAGGACCGCTGAATGTCGGGAATGCGATGTGTAGAAGGAGGCAGGGAGACGTAGTGCCCTGCCCGAGGAGAAGACGGAGAGGAGTAGGGAAAGAGCTTGAGCAAGATTTCGGTAGCGCCGATAGCCCGATTGCAGCGGATTTCAAAATCAGCGTCGCATGCCCTGCGCCGGGTGGTGTGCTCGGATCAGGCCCCTGCCGAGCCCCGCCAGCCTAGTACTCTCCGGCCACCTTCCAGCTGCAGCTCGGGGACACGCTCGCTGTGACTGCTCGAGACGTGCCCCGCCGAGCTATGCCGCTTTTCGAGCTACAGAATACTCAATTTATTACCTGAGATGTTCCCAACACAGGTTCCCGGTATATTCAAGTGCTTCCAGCGGTGGAGCAGAGTTGGGCAATGGTTTCGGTGCGGTAGGGTTGGGGCTCGGCCAGGAATCTCCGGTGATCCGATTCTTACATCCGCTGTAGGATGCGTACCACCCCAGCATCACTAGAACCCTAGTCCTGCCCCGCATCACGGTGCGCACGCGCTTCGACCCCACCCTCCCTTCGACTACCACGTCAAGATCGAGGACGGCGTTGACGAGCAGACTGAGATTTGGCACCAAGAAAGCTCGCAGATGGCTTACGGTGCGCAGCAATATTGCCTACTCCTACGAAGCCGTCGACGAGCAGATGCACGACTGCAAGGAGGAGTGCGCAGACGAGGGCTACTCTATGCAGTAACCCCAGCAGGTGTCTGGTCATAGCTAGTCCTGGGAATCCACCGTATGTTCTAATGGGTCATCAGCCGCTCACGCATCTGTTGACTCGTCCGTACGTCTCGCTCTCTGCCGTATCTGTATCCTGCGCCAGATGGACGCTCCTCACGCACAGCCGTCGTACCTCTCCATCGACATCCCCGACTACTCCATTCCATACGCATACGAAGACAACATGTTCTTCGAGTCGCCCATGTCCGCACCCGAGATGCACACCTACCCCGAGGCGTCCATCCACAGAGTGCTCACCGCGCTCACCGTCGCGACGCGCTCCTACACCCTCGAGGGCGCGATCACGCCCATCTCGTCCTAGCCCAAGCCCCGCACGCTCACATCCCCCGCACGCTCACATCCCCCGCGCGCTCACATCCCCGCGCGCTCACATCCCCGCGCGCCCCCCCTCACAGGTGAAGCGCAGGACCGACTTGCCCCCGCCCATGGGCTCCCTCCGCTCCCCACCCCACCCCTCTCGCGCTCGCGCTCGTCCCCATTCACCTCGCAGTCGTCCAGCTCTGGCTCAAGCTTGGGCTCGGGTTCCGCCGCGGCTGGGCAGCCCTCGTCCCCTACCGACCCTGCCTAGTAGTAGTAGCAACAACTCCTCTAGAAATGCCCCCGCGGTCGCCTGCGCAGGAATCCCGCCCCGACACGCGCGCCCTCGCCCCCGCCCGTCGTCGACTACCCGTTCCTGCAGTTCCCTACGCTCCTCGCGGGCGTCCCTGTCCCATCGGCCTCTGCGTCGACGTCCGCGATCCCCCCGCCCGCGCCGACGATGACGATCGCGGCGGGCCAGGCGATGTTCAAGCTGAATACGGCGCTCGGCGAGGGCGGGGGCGAGGGCAAGGAGCCCGAGAAGAAGCCGATTATGGCGTGCCTCTTCTGCAGAGATCGCGTGCGGGCCCCAGCGCTGCAAGTGAGTGCCTCTTCTTGATGACAGCGGGATGCGTGTGCGCGCAACAGCCAGTGCATGCGCCGTGGGCTCGTCTGCGAGTACCCGAAGGAGTCACGCCGGGGCCAGCACAAGCGCGGGGCGCGTGCCGCGCGCGTCGAGGCGCTCGCGTCCGCGAGTGCGTCCGGCGCTGTCGCGCCGTCTTGGGGGGCCGGCTGTGTCGTCCTCGGCGTCCGCGAGCCCGACGTCGATCAGGCCAAAGCCGAAACCGAAGCCAATGCCCAAGGCTGATGCGAAGGAGGCGGCCCAGGTGCCGTCCTCGCCGCTCACCCCCCTCCCCTCTCCCGCAGTGTGCCGCCCCTCCCTCCAATTGCGCCTCGTCCTCCGCCTCCTCGTCTACCTGATCCTCCTTCGCGTCCCACGGGACGCCCCCCGCTCCTCTGTCCGCCCCGGGGCCGGCCAACGGCAAGACCCGCGCAGACAAGGTCGCGGCGCACGCGGCGAAGGGCAAGGAGCGCTCGCAGTCGCACTCGCTCGCGACGGCCGTCGCCGGGCCCTCCGCGGTGGACATGGCTGCGACGCTGCGCGTCGCGCAGAAGCGGGAGCAGCAGAAGAGGCGCGCTGCGGACGGCGCGGTGCCGAGCGTGAGTGGGAGCGGGCCTGCCGCGGGCGGAGAGGAGAGCGTCGGGGACGGGCGGAGGGGGAGGACTGGGACTGGGGGCGGGGGTCATGGAGGGCTGCAGGGCGTGGATTTGAATATGAGGTTTGGGTATGCGTTTGTGGCGTATGTGGGGCACCAGATGGCGATGGTCGGGATGCTGGTGATGCGGTGAAGGTGCTGCGAGGCTCGGTGTGCGTGGCGGCGCGGGCTGCTGTCGCGCGGAGGAGGGATTCTGTGTTCGGGTGCGCTCGTGTCTTTAACCGGTGTTTCGTCATTAAGGCTGGAATAAATCACAAATCGGAGATGAGGGACAAGCCAATGCGCCGCGAGCGGTCAGTTCCATGACTTCCTGAAAAAAAAGGCTCTGCATGTTCTCTGACTGACCAGACGTGTAGGAAAACGTATCTGGGCAGCGGGTGCCCGGCACCGGCAACGAAAGCGACCCCACGCGGGTCGAATATGCCATGATCGAGGATGCAGCACAGGAGTGAAAGGTCAAGGTAACGTGTATGGCGTTGTTTATATGCGTGCACTCATCCAGCGATTATCAGGGTGATGACGAAGAGCATATAACCAAGAGCGAGTGGCGCAAAACACAGAAGGCGGAACCATGCTCGGTGCTTGTCGGCTCCATGGCGGTTACCCGACAGGACAACCTTGACCAGAAGGTAGCAATATTCCTGAACGGAACCCTCTCCCATGAGCCAGGGTTCCTAGAAATCGCCGGGGATGATGCGTACGAGATGTGGACTCAGGGCGCGCAGACCGAACTTCTCGTGCTGGGCGACAGCATTCAGCGCGCGTTCCTCGCTTGCAAAATAGCCAAGACATACAAAGCCGAAGGGGCGCCAAAGGACGACTCTAATCCGAACCAGCCCCAGCTACCTGCGATTGTAGCTGAGGAGCTCATGTGGCAGAGTATCGCCACCGTACTGCGCCCCTCTGGCCCGTTAGTCCTGGGAGGCGCCTTGGACGCCTACGTTTGCCGTGAGTGCGGTTGTTGTGTGGCGGTCCTATGGTGTATTGATTCTTTTTTTCGCTTTCTAGCTCCCGAAGTAGCCGCATATATGCGCACCGAGCGAGAAGAGCGCTTCAATCGGCTCCGTCAGCTGAAAAGCAATGCTAGGCCCGAAGTAGAATTAGTGCAGGATTCCGAGGAAGAAATGGTGGAGGATTCCGAGGAAGAGAGTGAAGTGCATTCGCAGAAGTCTACCCGTGGATGATGCGCCCATTTGGGGAGACATGAGTCTCACGAAAGGTGCGCTTATGCGATTGTTCACCCGCGCAACCGATGATCTCTCTCCGGTTTGCAGATATGCGACATTGAGGTGTTCCAGCTTCTGTGGGCATATCAGCAAATGTACGTCCGCGACACGCCGATGGCCACTTGCCAGGACTGACCGTGTCTTCTCAGCTCACGGCGAATGCGCTACTTCTTGGGGCGGAACATTGTATCGCAGGCAAGGCAGACATACACGGTGTGCCGAATTAGTGTGAGCGGAGTATTGTCATCGAGCGAAATGCATTTTGTTGCACAATCGAATGCACGAGTGGAGCGCACGGTGCTACTGTTTACTCAGCTGTGAGAACCACCTCCGGCTTGTTCTGCTCGAATGTCTGGCGACGAGACTATTGGTCGAGGGAATCGTGGTTCACAAGAGCAAGCACAACATGATGATCGGACTGGACAATAATGCGACCACTCTCGGAATACGGCCTGCCGCCTCCATCCCCGATCATTCCCCCCAACTAGACACAGCGGGCGGCGCGGAGCCTAAGACACCGTCCGCATGAGGTAAAAACGCGCACTCAGGAGGGCAGAAGACGGGAAATAGAGGGGTGGCTGAAATGGACCCATAAGGAGAAGAGCTAGCCCACTAATGTACGCTTATATCCTACTTCTCAACGTCGTCTATGTCTCCCAGGATCTCCACGTCAGCATCGCGGACACTAGGTGTCCGGCTCTTCTTCCGTTTGACTCTAGGTGAGGGACGAGCGGTGGGCGGTGCGTCTGCCTCCAACTCCGTTGAGCGAATCGGTGTTGGTGCTCGGATTTCTGGAGTAGGGCCCGAGAAATCCTTCCCGGTCATCCGAGTCAACGTTGCAATATCTGACAGTCGCCTCGTCAGCGCCTACTTCCACGTACATGAGTATGGTACGGACCGTATGGCTTGCGATTGTTGAGGCATAATGTAATTCGCGCTGGGTTCTTCGTGTCCTCTGAATTGAACTTGTTCTTGCACGCTTTTTGGTCGCGACCCGGCAGAACATACGAAATCAGCTCGTAATTCTCGCCGAATTGCGACAATGCCTATGCGCAATCTCAGCATAGAGCCTACTGCAACCACACAGCAGGGGGAAGAACTCACATCGAATAATAGCTCAGTCTCTTAGGCGCTCCATCGCAAGCCGCGAACCTTCCTGCAGTACGTCTCCGAGTTTACAGATTTGGTGAAGTCCGACTTGTCTACGTGCGCGTAGTCTTCCGTCCGATGTTCCTCGTCCCGGTTGACGAACAACAAGTCCTCGTCCATGATGGTCTCGCCGTTGGGTCCAATACGGGCCTGGACGCTGTACATCAGGAAAAAGGAATCTCTACAGAGCCGCATGCCACGGCTATGTAGGCTACGTCAGCTCTGTAGCACAGGGCGCTAGCTATGTAGACATCTGTAGCGCTCAGTATTCAGCTCTTTTTTTAGGCTCCCCGTTGTGATTGAAACCCTAGCAAAGTACACACGTAGAAAGACCCGATACTTCGCAATCAGATTTGACCCAGGAGCAGGCTCAATATTGCCCATTCTCATCGAGCGTAGCAGATGTATTTTGCCAAGTCAGCTCGCACCGGCCCTAAACATGGGCGCCTATGACTCGGTACCCCGTCGCTCTGCCCGACGCCCTTGCTTCGGGATAGACTTGGTTCTTGCCTTGCCCTGTACAATCCCTTTGCCTGCCTTCGTTGTCTTCCGCTCTTTTCTCCTACTCGCTCTGGGTTCTGTCTTGATCGTGATATTCCTGTTGCAGCTGGTAAGTTGTACATTTTTTGCTGTAGTCTCGTAAGCCACTTA